ATTCATTCGTGTTTTCTTTCATACAATAATGCAAAACATATAAGGTTACATTAATATCAAATCTATTTACCAGTTGTTGAGGTGAATGTGGTAGTTGTKGTTGTCTCTGGCTCGGTTGTTGGCGTTTGAGTAGTTGTTGATGCTTGTATTTATAAGAAATAGTCAAATTAATTCGTGTTTTTTCTCATGCAATAATGCAATAAATATCACCGAGGATATATGAATATCAGATCTATTTACCAGTTGTTTCTGCTTTTGTAGAAGTACTTGCTTGTGAATCGGTTGCCGAGGCTCCTTGGAAATATCAAAATTAAAATTTGTAATATTTATGTTTTCTTTGTGATCAGTGCATAGGTATACCAAATGAGATTAATTTACCAGCTGTTGTAGTAGATGTAGTTGTTGACTGGGTCGTTACGTCTCCTATAAATATTATTATTTAAATTATTAATGATTTTATCCATGAAATCGTGTTACATAAAAGTGCAGAAATTTTGAGTAAAATAAATTTACCACTGGTTGGTGCTGTTGTTGTTGTTGACTGGGAATTTGCTTCTYCTTACCAAAAAGAATACTCAAATTACTTCGTCTACTCATAAAATTATGCATTATAGATCAGGGTGAATAAAACTTAACTTTTAAAAATGAAACTTCAGCATGTTATATGAAGACTCTTCTTGAAGGTTTGTCGAAACACAAATGGTAAAGTATGTTTTGGGGGGTTTTGTTTTCTGCTTTTAACTTTAAAAAGTTCAACTGAACTCACTTTTTTTCAAATTCTAGGATAATCTATCGTATTAAAATGGTAACTTGCTGCAAAAAGATTTTGAATAGGATGAATTTCCGATATCAGTTAACGTTAATTTGAATTTCCCTCCAGTTAAAAAAAAAAAAAAAAAAGCGCTCTCTTTGAAATCAGGGCCCTGGTGCGAATCTGACGTCTTCGAAGGAATCGTAACGTTTTTCACATTTTCGGAGTCTTTCAAAGTAAATAGTGGAGATTCCAAGGTATTTATTTCTGTTATAAACGCCATTGAATTATAAGCCAACTTTTAAATCTTTCATATCTTTCAAACCTTAATTGAATTGTCAACCAATGTGAGAACTTAAGTTCCTTAGTAGACGTCATACTAGGCTCGACTCTATGATAGTTCGCGGCTATTTCGGGATTATCGAAAATCTCATAACTTTAACGTTTCACAAAAAGAGCTTTTAACCGATTTCCTTGAAGGCAAACACACACCAAAATTTTTCCATGGTGGTTTTGCTCATCTTTGGGAAAAAGTTAAACTTTAAAATATCAAAATTTGTACAAGGAAAGTTCAATTCATTTACCTGTTGTACAGTTGGAGCCTGCATAATTGGCATTACATTCACATCTGTATGTATTCGAGGTAGTGTTGTACCGGCATATTTCATGATTTGCACATTTGCATTTATTCTAAAAAAGGAATTCATTCAATTATTAAATAAACAACATCTCTAACGGACTTGAGGATATAACGACGACACTACTTCTTTTTTCTTCTTCTTTAAAATCCACTGCAAAATTGCGCTAGCTTGGCGATTCACAATTACATTTGTTCTAAAATGGAATCCATTCCGAATCAAGATCTCTAATTTATTAAATGATCTCTAACGGACTACGTGTAGAGTAGCCATTAAGGACCCTAATTGTTTTTTCTTCGCCTCCTTTACAATTGACTGCAAAATTGCTCAAGCTTGTTTTGGAATCACACCGAGCAAACTGTTGGTCTGTTGTTTGAAAATGTGTTAACGTTAATTTCATTTGATCGATCTCTAATTGGCTCTTAGTATAGTTTTGCCACCTGCGCACATCCCTCCCCAATTACTTCTCACCAAAATGTCTACATGCAAGTTTACCTTAGCTGAATTGTAAATGGAGCCAGACCTGGGTACCAAATTCTCAGGATTCATTACATGGTCTGATTCGCTTAATTCACAGGTTTTGGAGTTGATATCGAAGTTGTATGAGAGACAGCGATTTCCATTCATGTAACAAATAGCTCTGCAGAAGCGGATTTCCATATTGTTGATTGTCTTGAATACAAACATCGTGAGCGCCTTGTCGCTGATTTCTGAGTTAAATATCATGGTATTACATTCACCTATGGATTGAAATTAAAATAGTGATGATCAAAACAGTTTGATCTTAACTTGCTAGATATGCATCACAACACGTTTGCTCTTAACCGTTGATAGATATGCATAATTAATGATCAGGAAGGTAACAAACTCTTATTTGGCTTATTCACTACCTCTCTYACTACTTACTCACTTCCCCAATGACTTCCTCTACCGATTAAAATCGATGGATTAAATAAACTGTTAAATGTCAAGTACACATTGTTACAACAATTTAGTGTTGAACGATCACTCAGATCAAATACGTTTTGCCCTAACTAGATACAAACACCTTCGAATTACAGAATAGTCGGCAATATGTACAAAAAAAGAACATGAAAAAAAGGAAAAATCATGAATAAATATGGAAAAACTCTGTAACAATATTGCAAATKGAGATTTACACGATATGTACATGATCCTGTAGAAACTCTATAAATCCAGATATAAATCTAGAATGAAAGGTCATTACTTTTTTGCAATGATTTTAACATGATAACTGAGTGATCARAGGAAAGAGGAAAAGCAGAAATAATCGAAGTACTTACCTCTRCCTAATGGCAATTTGTATWCAATGAAACACAGGAAGATTAAGAAATACTCTTTCATTTCTTTTGATGATTTCCAACTGGTTTTGACGATTGTAGAAAAACGGTAGCAGGTTTACTTTTTTTTACTTTTACACATCGACTTGCGTGAATAACTTGACTGAATGCTTTGCTGGATGCTCTTGAGGTAAGATTAAGTTAAACTTAGATGTGATCCTGGCACTCTTTCAATAGAACTGTTAGGGCTCATGCTAGTTTAAGCACTTCTATTGTTCTATTAACGAATGTGCTTAGCAGAAAACTTTGTTTTGCAGACGGCGCCTTTGAAGAACTTCACAATGAATGTCAATTTCGAAAAAMAAACATCCGTTTTGATATGATAATTGTTTAAGATTATAAAATTTCTTTTCTGTATAAGATTTTAATCTTTTAGACTAAAAAAGTTTTACAAAATCATTAAAAAATAAATAAATAATATCTCGATTTTTCTTTCGTTTTATTTTTTAGCACAAATGTGTTATATACATATTATCTTCCATTGAGTAGTTTCAGTTTATTTGTGACAAATATATTTAAACTGTTACTCAGGTTTCTTTGACATAGCTAACTAATAATAATTACTTGTTATTTCAATCGCAAAAAGGAAAAATAGTTATAAGAGAAAAAGGCACAAAATTATTTATATAGTTCCAAACGTTTCTGAAAGATGAGACTTCTCTCAGAATTTTACAAGATATTTACATAGAATGTAAATAGCATTTACAAGAAGACTTTGTCTGTAAATTGAATTTACAGTACATTTCCATGTTATTTACAAACTATGTAAACAAATCAACTTTTCAAGTGTTTCTTTGGCTGTTTACTATCGATCGAAGACTAGATTTCCCGTGGAAACGACATTTCGAAGAATTGCCGAAGCCCTTGAAAGGGGAATACTCCAGTTTCGATTTCATAGCGAAAAACGGCTGCTTCATTTGACAACAGATTTTCTTCCACAAGGAGCTGACCAAACACAAAAGAAAGCACGAGAAAGTATCGTTATTACAATAGCCTTGAAAATTTGCATTTTCTCCGAGTTGAGACTTACCCAGTATTCTCATACGACCTAAGTTATGAGGAATACAGGGTTAGCCTCAACTAAGGGATAAAGTAAATTATTAGCGATATTGTGCAACATTTTCTCGTGCTTTCTTTTGTGTCTGGTAAGTTATTTGCGTAAGAGAATCTGCTGTCAAATAAAACAGCGTCTACAAACCCTTTTAGCGATCTCTCTCACGCTGTGCTAGCCTCAAAACAATGTAATAAATTCTTTTATTCAGAACAGTCCGTGAGTAAAGACATTAGAACTAGTTTGAAATCTCACGAGTTTTATCTACATTTCTGAATACTTTAGCACACAATTGAGGCTAACACAGCGTACTAGAGATCGCGAAACTCAACTGTTCCCTTGGAACTCGGAAATGAAGTATTGTAAAACTCTTCGCATCATAAATATTAGGCTTAAAAGCCCACGTGATGAATCCAAAAGCCTTTACGCGATTTTTACTTTTACGAAAATTCACCATCTTTGATTTTAAACCAATCAGAAAGCACCTTTCAACAGGCCGGAGATTATTTGTAAAACAAAATAAACGATCGCAGAGGTTGTTGGATGGACGTGCGCCTTCACGCTCATCATGAAATGGCCAGCGGTAAAGAGCGAAAAATTACAATAGACTTTCGCCTCTGGAATGGCCAACTTTAGATATTTTGGTTCAGTGACCATGCACAAAAGAATTGCAGACGAGGCTCCGGAGAAATAAAAGAAATCAAGATTGTCTGTTGTTTTCCTGGAGACTAGTGTGCGTTCTTTTGTAAATAGTCATCGAACCAAAATATCTACAGATGACTATTATACAATAGACTTTTGCCTCTGCAATAGGCGATCTGCATTATGGCGTCATTTACTACAACTATATAACAGAATGCTTTGCCAACTTTCTTTTATAATACAATTAGTGCCAATTGTTTTATTAATCTCCAAGGGGATTAAAAATCTGAATAACAATGAAAATGCGCAAGGCTCTCTGGTCGTCATAATGCAAACGGCCTATTGACCTTTCAACGCGAGAGTGTGTCACCATGCAAACTGACAACCAGACATGGGCTAGTTATTTTAAAGGCTTGTTGGATATCCCGATCCGATATCATGTGGCAAATACTGCGCAATGTAGTACGGTGAATATTGATCAAATATGGTTGTAATAAAATTGATGTGAGCCTATTCTCTGATCGGTTATAAAGAACTTTGTTTTTGAAATATCTTTTAAAAAGGGTAATGTAGCGGAATGACAGGACAACGTAATGGTAATGACATTTCCAGAGCCAGTTATGGTTTAGTTATGTTTTTTTTTTGTTATGGTTTAGTTATGGTTTAGTTTTTTTTGTTTTGTTTTGTTTTTCCTTTCATAAGACATATCTAAGACTTGTTGTAATTTGTGCGGAAGCTCTTGTTATTTTTAGCTTGACGAATATATATGACAAATGGAGTAAGACAAACAAGACGACCTCTGTAACATCAGCAAGTTTTAGACGAAAAATCGTGAAAATCGCCAAAAAATGTCAACACRTATTCATGAATATAAGGTAAAATTTCCATATATGGATGCTAGAGTGGCGTGTATAAAAATTGATTTCCTAGTTTTTCACCAGAATATTCTATGCCAATTGTAACTTTTCTTTTCTTATATTCTTAACATAATCTATAATTTATGATGGCTTTATTGAAAGTTAACGGCACTGTAACAAAACAAATGCTTAAACACTAAGATACATTGTTTGGGAGTTCTGTGATTCAATCTTATCTTTAACACAGCTGTGATTTCAAATCAAATTCTCATTGTGTTGTCAAAACATCACTCTTTGCTTTTCCACTAGTTGAAGCCTCTTCGACATGCTGCCCCAATTTAAGTAAACATGTCCAAATTGCTCAAATTCTTCATAATCGCTTCAATGTTAAAGTCTATCGCAGAATCATGCGACGCCAACAAATTCGTTAAAACTGAAGGCATGGAACTGCAAAACAAAGTGGTTAAAACAATTCAAAAAAGTTTTCTGGAGCTCTGCTGGGAAGAGTGTTTGATGTTTCGACAATGGTGCCAGTCTATCAATGTCCGTAAAGTCCTTGGAATGTTTTACGATTGTGATCTGAATAGCGCCAATAAACTTGCACCAGGTGRCTTAGTGAGAAGAGCTGATTCAGACTATTATGAACTTGAGGTAAGTGAATTGTAAGCATCCAACGTTGCACGGTCTTATAAGATTAAGAAACAACTAAAAACACTAGGATTATGAATCAGACAGCAAAGTTGAACACTTACTCGAGTACACAGATAAATGCCACAACTGAGATTATTCGGCGCAGACACCGTTGAAACAATTACTCTTCTTATCATTGTCAGTTTCATTATTAGGCTCAATGGTGTAGCCCAATTGAAGCGGAGAAGGTTAGGACTGTTAGCATATAGTGCATAAATCAAAGTTTCCCATTTTAAATGGTATAGATCTATAAAATACTAATGGCCTGGCTCAAAAGGTCAGCATATCCTGGTATTGCTCCCTTTGCAAGAATATCAGTATTCTACATAATTTACCTTTCTGAACACTTTTATAGAACCTTGACCCAGCAGTTTGCAGCAAGATAAAGTGCATAAGTACGTACAAAATTTATTTTATTTTGCTTAATTTGAAATGTATGGCCATTAAGTTCAACGCTAGATACGCTAGATAAATATCCAATAAATCGTCCTAATCTTCGCACTTAATTCGCAAAAATTAGTTCTATAGTTTCCTCATCAAGGGTATCAACTTTTGAAACCTCAAGTTTACTAATAAGACGATGATATGGACACTAGATATAAGCCCGGGGGAGGGGGAACGCCGGGGTAAAAGTATCGGAGTACCGGGGATTCTCGTCGGATCTCTTAGGGTAAACCGTTCGTGATAACGGTGCCAATTTGGAGTTTCTGTAAATTTGTAGAGAAAGAGCGCATCGATATTGATTTTCCTCTGCATTTTTATCATTGGAACTGATTTTAACAATATTTATTGTGTTAGAAATCAGTCAGCCATGCCCTTTTTTCAAGACTTSTGGGATCTTTTAGGGGTATTTTTGAAAACTTCTGACAAGCATCCCCGGTACTTTAACACCGCAGTCTCCTCCCGGGAAGAGAAGTTTTTGTCCACTCTTCATTAGAGTGCATTTAATTCGATACTCTTTTGTATATAAGTAATTTAGGATTATTTCACACTWACATTCATCCTGTTGTTCAGGCTGCAAGCTTGATCTTCTAAACTCTTCAATTTGGGACTATGTAACCATGACTCCAGGAATTGACCCAGATGTGAACGAGTTCAGYTTAAGCTTTTGGCTGAAGRTCCCTTCTTCATATAAAAAGACRCTCCAGATCTTTTCTTACAAGGCAACTGACCATTCCTCTTTGTCTGTGGAAATATTACTGAATGGAATTACGGAGATCAAGGTCAATGATAGAGTAGTGTAAGTAYAAAGTACAGAGTCTTGATATTATAACTCATTCACAAGATAATGATAAAATAGGCTTCGACTCAATTCCCTCTGCCATCTTTGCATGCTCACGCTCATGCTCTTTGCTTCGACGCAAAGGTGCAGTTCATTCAAAGACGGGACAGACAACCGTTGCGATGCCGGTTCAGTAGTAATTTCTTTTCAGCCACATCAAATAATCAAAAAATAATAATAAAGACCTAAAAAACTCTGCTGAAAGAAGCCCTGTGCTTGCTTCATGGTAGCTACCTTTCTCATTTTTAACAATGTTTCAATCTTTCTCAGGTCAATTCAATCAAACTTTTATCGAAACGACTCGTGGCAAAATTTCATGATCGCATGGTTTTATAGCKGTGGTAATGTTACATTGTACAAAGACGGGGAAATGAAGTCTGGAACAAGTATGACATCTGGAAAAGTCAAGAATGGCGGGAAAATATACCTTGGTCAATTTCATTAGTAAAAATGAAAAAAAATGACCTAGGAAGGCCCTTGGTGCTAGCATGGCATACATTCAGATTTGGAAAACGGTACAACATTAGATATAGATAAAGATACAATGTAAATGCATGTCTTTGAATTTAAATTTGTCAATCAGAAACACTCTGTTTGGGAATGCCCTGAACTCAAATTATAGCAACGAATATGTATAGGTTGAAACCTGCTCATCTAGACGTCTTYTATCGATTAAGCAAGCATTCTAATAGCCTCACCTAAGACAAGAGCGAATGATATTTAAACTATCGTTATCTCGATTCCTTTCATGTTAGCATTTGTAACTAAGCGAAACTGAACTGATCGAACTGYGAGGCACTGAAAACAGTTCTCGAGTGCAATCTTCCACACCAGGTGTAACCGGCAATTATAAGTACAGGAAATTGCACGACCTTGAGTACAATTTGGAATTAATAGTCACGAGTAATGTTCTGAAAGTTCTTGATAATTGCACGGGCTCCAYGAATATGCAATGGCAATTTTTAAGGGCTGAGATTATATTATAGCCTTGTTAGATATATCAGTCAGAGAGAATTCTCTTCACTTCATGGACAATTTTGTTAGTATTATTGCTCAGTTACATCTGTGAAATAAAGTGGGTATGAAAATACATTTATAATTGATGGTGGTTTATATAGTTTTTTTAAACTGGGTTGACAACAACAACAACAACAACAACAACAACAACAACAATCTTTATTTTCATTTCCAATATATTATATATATTTACACTTTTATTGCATATTTTCGTAGAAAACAATAGTATAGATTTATATTAATTTTTATAGAAAAATATGCTTTGCATTCAAGGAAATGACTAGAAACTAAGGGAACCGTAAGGTTTTCAAAGTTAGACTCTAGGTAGTTTAAGTTATAAGTTGATATGTAGCTTCACACACAACATATAGAAACATACAATCATGAATCATGCAATAGAACTATAATTGCAGATTCAGATTCATCATCCTTTTTTATAGTGTTGATGCATCTCAATCTGCGATGATGAGYCCACCTACAAACATCTTTTCGAGATGCAACCACATAGAAGCAAGTAGMTTACAAACAAGTGCGTATTCAAGATTATTACATAATATCAAACAGTGCTTTTTTCAGCTGTTTCTGCTGTTTACTACACGTATAGCCACAAATTAATGCATACAAAGGCTATACACAAACTGACTGTGTAAGTGAGATTTTTAAACATCTTAAAATCGAAATATAATCTAAGAATCTCAGGCAGTAAACTTCACTAAGATCGGTTTAATAGCAAGTGGTGCTGGAATTCTCCGGTAATATATCTCGCCATCTTTGTAACATTTTGCCAACAAATACCGAGAAGGGATGCACTCTATTCATAGCTGTTGTGCTCAGGGCAATAAAGGCATGGCTCTTAGAAAAATAGCGAATATTCATCGAATTTATTCTAAAACTTTTGCCTTTTGCCTACTTTTTCCATCAAATTTGGCAAGTGTTTCTACTTTTGTAAATACTGCATTTTTAGAGGGTAGTTGCCATGGAAACGAGATCATGTGACAGCAGTGTGGCCATCTTGGATTTTTCTTTTGAGGCTCTTCAAAAATATCACGGACACCTTAAGGAAACAAAGGCGTTTCCCTAAAGTGACTGTACATTCAAGACAATCTACACCAGGGAGTATTGGGTTCTCACAAAGATAAGCAAGCTTTACATCCGGAACTTACTCCCCAAAGTGCTTAAAAACATGTCGAAGTCAATTAGTGWTAAATTAATCTGTCCGTGGACGAGAAGATGAATAATTGATAGAATATATCTTATAAGGCGAACAATGTAAAAGCATTGAACTATATATTTCGTGAGTCACTCTTATGTAATTAACTAATTATGTGTYGTCACTATTTCACTGTTTGACGTGGAAACGAAGCAATTATAAAACACTTGGATACACTTTAAGGGAAGATCAATGGTAAGTTTGTTTGTTTTCGTCTTTTTCTTCCTCGTCTTCTTCTTCTTCTTCTCTTCCTTCTTGTTCTACTTCTTGTTCTTCTTCTTGTTCTTCTTCTTTCCCTTCTTTTCCTTCTTCTTCTCCTTCTTTTTCTTCCTTTTCTTGTTCTTGTTTTAGTTTTTTTTTCTTTTTCTTCTTCTTCGTCGTCTTATTCTTCTCTTCAACTTAAATCTGTTCATTCATTGTAGTGAACAGAATAAAAACTTGATATTTTAAATCTAAGGTTACGTAAAGTAATATTTTTAAGTAGAAACAGCTTTCAACTATTTTAGCAACCTTGAAAAAGCAATTTTAAAGTTACGTAATAATACCTCTTATCGAGAGAGAACTGAAAAGATTTTGGATCGTAAACAAGCCAAACATGAAACCCTACAGAGCCTTGATGCTTGATGGTAAGAATAACATTGTGACGATGTACAAAAGATCTAGCTTTTCTGTTAAAAACTCTTAAATTTGGAATTACGTTTTCAGTGCAGCTTTGTCTTGTCTTGACGTCAATTCATTCAAAGTTTACAATTGAAGCAAACTTAAAGAAGGTTCTCGCAATGCATATTTTGATATTACGCAACATAAATACTGTTATTCAAAGCTACCTTTGATGTGAGCGAAATCTAATCTTTTATCTTTCACTATCGAAAATATATAATTGAATAATATGGGCTTTTGAAAGTGCGCAGTGCTTTTGGTTATACCGGACGTGACCTTCTTGCTCGATGCCAAAGAAAATATTTACCTTCCTGAGTCTATTTACATTTTTATTAAAATGCTATTTGAATTAAGATTTACTTACACAAAAGCATCAAACAAAAGAACGTTTATGAAGCCAACTGTTATWTAATTGTCGCGTCACAAACATCCTAAAAATCATCAAGAATTAGAAGTGTTTTACTGCTTTCAATCTCAAAAGTTAATTAAATGCTAGTACGTTCGCCAATTCACAAATCACAGCAAGGGCCTTTTAACACTGACTATAATACATCTGCGATGTCAAATAAAATTCAGGTCGTGATATTCAAKACATTATTTCTTGGCTTCCCCTTCAGGTGTAATGAAGTGATTAATCACGACTTTCCGCATCGAGTAACCATGGTCAAATTACTTGAAATCTTTGTGATGCTCTCAATAYTGAGCGTTTGCAAGCAATTTGCGGAATCTTGCAACGCAAACAAATTCGTTAAAACAGAAGGCATGGAACTGAAAAACAAAGTGGTCAAAACAGTGAGAAAAAGTTTTCTGGAGCTCTGCTGGGCAGAATGTTTGCAGCTGCGACAATGGTGCCAGTCTATCAATGTCCGTAAAGTCCTTGGAATATTCTACGAATGTSATCTGAATAGGGACAAGAAAAATCCAGGAAGTGCAATGGTTGGCAATCCTGATTCTGACTATTATGAACTTGAGGTAAGTGAATAGATAAAACCTAATTGAAAAAGTTAGAGAGATCAAAAAGGTTACGAAACGAATTTTTCAGTCTTAGCTTCGATGATGTAAGCTGGGTAAGGTTTTCCAAATACGCAATTTTGTGCAAAAAAAAAGTTTAGTCATTGTATACTTTTTCCGTGTTCTTTATATTTCCTATAATTGTCTTCCCTTCTTTCCTTTTTTACATAATATGTCTTTTTAAATATATTTACAGAACCTTGACCCAGCAATTTGTAAAAAGATCGAGTGCAARGATAGTGGAAGTAAGTTAGAGCCCGTGTTGAATTAAATGGCCTCCGCCCCCCGCCCCCTGTATATATTTTTGACATTATGTCACTTTCCATTGGAATTGAMGACATCGCATTAACATGACCAACAATACTTTCATACAAGACAAAAGTACTTTGAAATGCATTTTTGCCTTTCTGTTTACGTGTCCATTCACAGATATTTTATATAGTGCCCATTGTAATGTACTTGACTTGATTAATATTTTTTCACTTTATGTACCAATGTAACATAATAGCAATACGCTGCAGTGTCCATATTTTACGTACAATTTTGAGTTTTCAACAGCATGGTAAAGCAGCTCTCTGGCTCATTAGATTTTGTGAGTTTTGGTAAGAAAAACAAAACGCATTTTAAAAGAATCAGTGTTTTAAATCTCCCACTACAATTCTGTATTCTGGTATCACGTTATTTGCTATTTCAAAATGGCACATGTTCAGTTATCTCCTAAAGTTATCTGGGACAGTTTATAACTAAAGATATGTTTCTATCGATTAAAAATACTTTTAAGCCAATTAAAATCGTTGAATTAATCTGTACTACATATTGCTTCTGTAATCCAGTACTTTCCGTATTTTATTAAACGATATCCGTTTCAATGTAATAGCAAATCCAGTAGTGGCAGACTCACCGACAGTGCCGACTGTTACTTCTTCAAATGCTGCTTCTCCCACGACCACAGCARCCGGCGCTCAGGCAGCAACAACGACGTCGACATCTACCTCTACTACCCGCGCCGCGTCCACCTCAACAAGTCAACCGTCTTCTTCTACCGCCACAACAGCCRRCA